ATGGCGACCATCACCTGAGCTATAATTTACATACATATCTGCCATCCTTCATTTATTTATTTCCGTTGCCATGCCGTAAGTCGATCGATCATTCTACAACCAAATTTTTTTGTTCATTTTCGTTTCCTGCTTTCCATTCGACCAAAATGTTTCTATTTTCAAGTCTGTAAAAGAAAAAAAGATCATCTAGAACCTTATCGCGTTGAGTAACATTCTCGAATTGTGTTACAACCAAAAAGAGGAAATTTAGGCTTAAGCTTTGCGGGAAGTAAAACGTTTCCCTGAAACAACTGAAAGGTATCCTTGGAAAAAATTAGCGCCGGTAATGGACCAAGAAAGCAATGTTTCCTTTACGTGTAATTAAAATCATTTACCTAGAAAAAGAACAGAGTGACATCTATTTAATTTAGTGACGAGCTTTTTCCTCAGAAATGAGTGATAATCAATTTCACGCAGGTCATGTATATGGACTATTGACCAAGTGTGAGGTCAAGATGGCTGGATATTGGCCAACGTCTTTTTTTGCGCATTTATGGACCGAGATGAATTCGAGGTCCATAAACACGCAAAAATAGAGCAAGGCCAATATCCAGCCATCTTGACCGAACAAGCTTGGTCAATAAAAAATTTATTATATGGCTTGCGGGGAAATTTTTCTTGCGGAACACGGCGGGTAGTCCAGAGCAGGCAAGATAGGATAGACAGGATATTGATCAGGCATCATTTCCCGGGAGAGGTTACTCCCTTATATGGGCTATATAGGTTGTGCGGCCTCAAAGGGTATGGTTTGTTTTCAGCCGTTTTGGTCTTAAATAGGGTATGGTTTTTGCACTCTAATCTTGAATTGTGTATGTTTTATAGTTTTCATTGTTATCGATAAGACCATCAACAAAAGCTCTTTTCAATCAGTCTGAGTAGGNAATTAAAATCATTTACCTAGAAAAAGAACGGAGTGACATCTATTTAATTTAGTGACGAGCTTTTTCCTCAGAAATGAGTGATAATCAATTTCACGCAGGTCATGTATATGGACTATTGACAAGTGTGAGGTCAAGATGGCTGGATATTGGCCGACGTCTTATTTTGCGTATTTATGGACCGAGATGAATTCGAGGTCCACAAACACGCAAAAATAGAACGAGGCCAATATCCAGCCATCTTGACTGAACAAGCTTGATCAATAAAGAGTTTATTATATGGCTTGCGGGGAAATTTTTCTTGCGGGACACGGCGGGTAGTCCAGGGCGGGCAAGATCTATCTGGCTCCATCTTGCCCGCGCGGGTGGCCAATCACAGCGCAGGATTTGATTCATCTTGCCCGCTCACGGAGCTAGCTATATAGTAAAGCAATCTACTGACATCAAGGTTGTCCTCTTCTTGGAAACGCCGGAAAATATGTCGTAACTACCTACGCCTGTGTAGTATAGGTTAGTTATGGCGAAGTTTCTTCCGTCAAGTATTTTATTTGAAAGCGTGTTGTTCAGCCTATGAGCTTATATTTCGAGCAGGGGGAAATTTCACTTATTTCGTTGTTTGAACCTATGAGTGATAAGATTCTTTTAGGCAGAATTTACTGAAAACCAAATTGCACTCATAACCGTGACGTTAACCGTAGAAGAACTTAAGTTCTATCTAAAATTCGCAAAGATTTCGGTGGACAGGATAAGTTTCTCTCAACGGTGAGACGTTGACTCGTCGAAAACCAAATCACCTAAAATTATTATTAGACCTTCACAACGCAACTAAAAAAAGTGACTGTTCCTTGAAAGATCTGTTCTATGGCCACGAGCATCATTTACACGTAATATAGATAAGTCTCTTTACGTAGTGGAAAAACCCGATAATTTGCAATCTCGATCTTATTTTAGGCCCCGCCCACACGTATCCGGATATTTTTTAATCCAAAACTTTTTCCTTCCAGATTCAAAAGTTGCCCCGTCCACACGTAGCAAAAATATCTGGATTCGCTGCCGAATTCACCGGATCCGGAAAGAAAAAGTTGCGGATTCAAAAATATCCGGATACGTGTGGACGGAGCCTAAAATAGGATCGAGACTGTGTCTTGGAACATAAGCAAGTAACAAATTAAATTACATGAAGACTGCGGCTGAATAAACTTTTCGATCATTTTGCCATTCAGTAGTATGTATACTCCTCACTGGGACGGTGAAAGTCAATGTCATTCAATGGGATAGGCATATCTTTTGTTTGGGGAATGATTTCTTTTCGTATATAAATACAGTCATATTAATTATACACGCGAGGAAGCTAGTTTTTTTTTTTTTTTTTTT